CTCGGAACTTAGTGCGTTGGATTCCTGAGACAATTTCACACCTAAATAGCTGCATAACAACTCCTAAAAATTAATTTAAAAATTGAACATTCCTCGGCCGATGCGTGACAAGAGGCGATTTTTCTCTATGGACCCCATGAGAACCGGTCTAGCTCCGGAAATATTGCTCGGATCACCACGGAACTTAGTGCGTTGGCTTCCTGAGACAATTTCACACCTAAATAGCTGCATAGCAACTTCTAAAAATTAATTTAAAAATTAAAAATTGAACATTCTTCGGCCGATGCGTGACAAGAGGCGATTTTTCTCTATGGACCCCATGAGAACCGGTCTAGCGCCGGAAATATTGCTCGGATCACCTCGGAACTTAGTGCGTTGGATTCCTGAGAGACAATTTCACACCTAAATAGCTGCATAACAACTTCTAAAAATTGATTCGAAAATTAAAAATTGAACATTCTTCGGCCGATGCGTGACAAGAGACGATTTTTCTCTAGGGACCCCATGAGAACCGGTCTCGCTCCGGAAATATTGCTCGGATCACCTCGGAACTTAGTGCGTTGGATTCCCGAGACAATTTCACACCTAAATAGCTGCATAGCAACTTCTAAAAATTGATTTAAAAATTAAAAATTGAACATTATTAACGATGGTACGTTATGACGACTCTGACTAACGTTGGAGGAGAAAGAAAACGCAAGAATGATCGGAAAACTCCGAGGCGGTTCCCCTGGATCGGGACGGTAGCGTGCAACGCGGCGTCCGACGATCGCGGTTAGATCGAGAGTGTGCGCTCCCCAGTCTCCGGAGACCGGCACGATCTCCGGGAAAGGAGGAACGGAGAAGAGAGGGAGAGGGATCCGCCACGGAGATGTTTATTGGAAAACGTGCAGTGTGCACCATCTAACCGATGATATCGGTGACACTCCCCCTTAACCTGTGTTAACATAAATCATGAATTACACATCGGGTCAAACAGCCTCTTTACCCCTTGACCGTACAGCACTCTAATGAAGATCGTCACAGACGAACTGACCGTGCAACGGTCCGGAGGAGAGTCTTCGTGATGGCGCGAAATTACAAATGTTGGTAACATGATATACATAAGTCTAACCGGCACAGAGCAAATCGAGCAACCGCGCGAACTTACAGGGCAGGGACATTCGCGGTTCTTCTTTCGCTGTGAACGGTGATGCCTCGTTATTGTTGTCGCGAAAACAGTCCTCGAGCTATCTGGTGGTGTTGGGCACGGTGTTTCGTCCCGGAAATATCGAACTTAGACGAGGCGGAGCAGGACCGCTTTAGTTACGTGGTGTGGGGGGCCCTGAGGCCCGCAGACCGGAGGTGGGCGCAGGAGGCGTCCCGAAACATTCGGTACGAGAGTGATCCCGCCGCAGCGTTGAGAACGCTCGTGGGTGTACTTGAAGCGTTGGGCCGATCGTCGGCGAGCGGAAACACCACCCCTGGGTGGACCAGCTACCCCCGATAGGTGAGAGAAAATTGCGATATTTTTAACGTAGGGAGAGAGTTAACTAGAACTGTCGAACCTCGAGAGGGTACAATGATTGTATGGGACGTCTGAAGACTTGGCCTGATGCTGTTTTGACTAAACAAGACCTCCGACGACCGTCGGTACCCTGCCCGCCGAAAAACCTCCTAGGACTACGCAGAGCGGCCAAGAAAGCACGGGAGGCGTCGGCTGAGTGCAGCAGACATACGTCGCCCGGCTGAATAGGCCGGCTGTCCTCATTTTTCCGGTAGTGCGCGGACCTGAGATACTGGAGGTAGTCATTGTGGAATTGTTTCCAGAAGCCGCGCAGAGCTGCCTGCTGATTTTTCCAGCGCTCTGAAAACACTATCGCGTTCGCCGACCGCACTGTGTCTGCTACCCGTTTCATGTCCGGTAGAGCCGGCTGAGAGGCATACCCGTACAACAGGTCCGACGGCGACAGCGCTCGCGGCTCGCTAGGGTCGACTACGACCGCCGAAATCGGTCGATCATTGACCATTTTTTCAATTTCCATCAGTACGGTTTCCAGTTCTCTGAATGGTAAGCAGCGCGATCCCAGAATTTTGCGCAGGGGTCTTTTGACCACCTGAACGAGTCGTTCCCAAAAGGCTCCGGTCCAGGGGGCCTTTTCCGTGGAGTGAGTCCACACCAACTTTTTCCTGGACAAGAGATCCTGGGTGGCCGGGTGCTTACGATGCTCGAAAACTGCATCAAGCTCCTTTTCGGCCCGGAGGAAGGTGCGCGCGTTATCCGACACGAGCCGGGATACCGATGGGTTGCGGCTTATGAAGCGACGTAGCGCCAAGAGAAATTCGTACGAGCTGAGGTCCGCCACCAGTTCCGATCTTAGAGCCCGAGTCACCGCGCAGGTGAACAGGAGGATATACGCCTTTACCTTCGAGCCATCTATAGTCTTTATGTAGAGAGGACCCGCATGGTCCACCCCTGTTACGAAAAAGGGAGGACATTGATCCACGCGAAAATGCGGGAGGGGGGGCATCGGTTCCTGTGCCGCCTTCGCTTTGAACCGGACGCAGACTTTACAGCCATGAGTGGCCTTATTAGCAATCCGCCTAGCCCCGGTTACGAAGAATCTAGATTGAAGGTGGTGTAATACAGCAGCGACGCCGCCCGAATGTAGGCAGGGACCTTCGTGAATGTGCCTGACCAGTAATTGTACTAGGAAGTCATTTCCTGGCAAGAGAATCGGGAACTTGACTTGATAGTCAATGTGCGTCGCTTTCTCCAAACGAGTGCGACATTTCAAGAAGCCGTCTTCGTCGACAAACGGTGCGAGATTCGAGAGCGCGTTCGATTTCGCTGCTAACCTTCCACCCGATTCCAATTCTGCCCGGAAATGACTTAATTGGATGTGTCTCAGAAGAGACGACTCCGCTTCCGCGAATTCCTGTGAGGAGATCGTGAGATCTTCTTGTTTCCGTTTGTCCCGCACGCGCGACAGCCATCTTTTGATGTACGCCGTCACCCGAACCGTCTTTCCCCACGAAGAGAGTTGTTTACGAAACAGATCCGAGACCGGATCCACTGTAACAGCCGCCGCAGCACAGATCTCCGCTCTCTTCTCTCTGAGCATGTCCGGGGTCTCGCGGTCGATACTCGCATTGAGCGAATGTGTCGGCGGACTCGACTGAATGGAAAGCCATGACGGCCCGGAGAGCCAGAAACGGCGCAGCTCCGGGGTGTCCAGTGGAGATCCCCTGCTCAATAAATCTGCCGGATTGTCTTCCGACCGCACATAGCTGAACGAGCTCGGGTGGGTGATAGATCGAATTTCACGAATTCGGTTGGCTACGAACGGTTTCCAGCGTTCCGGCGAATCTCTCAACCAACCCAACACCGAGGAATTGTCGGAATAAAGATACACTTTAGAGACACCTGTTGGAAAATTACCATCGATAGATGATTGCCTTTCCATAAATTACTGTCTGGAATTTTCTCGAAGTCAGTGTTTACGATAATTACACCAAGTTAACTTTCCAATACCCTGAATGTTAATGTTTACTGTCACAACATAGTCTGATCTATGTGCCAATTATATTTACGGAACCAGTCCTTCCTGGACAAGTCTATGGAGCTGTACTAGTATATAAACCACACTGAAATAAACATCAGACACAGATTCTTCTGTCACACGCAAACCCTGCGTCCTCATTCCTGAGAGCATCTTCCCTACGAGACCTCGCCCCTCGGAGATCATCTGAACCCTGTGCCGAATCAACTCTAGACTCTTGGACCGTGGACTCCTACTGATTGAGCACCTTCTCAGTGAGCCAACGCTCAGGATCCTCACGGATTCCCAACAACACCCTCGACGATGGTTTCCGAGATGCGCCGCGCTAGTCTCGCTGCAATGAGTGCAGCCATGAGTTCTAGGCGATGAATCGTCCACCTGCCTTTTAAAGGGCATGCTCTGGCTTTCGCCATAAGGAACGACACCGCGGCTGGCGATGAATCTGTGGGAATCTCCTTGAGATAGGCGACCGCTCCGTACGCCTTGAGCGACGAGTCCGCGAAGACATGCAGTTCCCTTGACGCTCTCGCGACGGCTCGTAGCCGAACATGGGGCGGGAGATCTGAATTAGCGGCGCCACGCTGAGTTTCTCCACAGCAGAGAGATAGTCCGTCAGGACTTCTCCTTCCAGTTTCGTATCCCAGTCGAATTTCTTGGACCACAAAACCTGCGTGAGCGTTTTGAAATTTATGGACACGCAAGCCAGAAGGCCTGGGGGATCGTAAATCTGACTCAAACCCCTGAGAAGATTTCTCTTCGTATGTGGGCCCTTGCTCAGAAACCCCTCGACCTCGGAAGTGTCGATGAACAGGGTGTCTGAGACCTGATTCCAGGAGACCCCCAGAAATTTGGAATTGGTCTCCTGACACAGAATTTCCGGGTTATCGTCTTTGGTCGCCCGTCCTATGAACTCCGCTAACTCCGGAATGTTAGTTTTCCACTTTCCGAGGGGAAACCCACCTTCTTTAAAGACCTGTATGAGAGTCTCCACCGTCTGCTTGGCCTCGTCAATCGAGTAGCTACCGCAGGCGAAATCATTGACGTAGAAAGTCGATTTAAGTTCGTCTAGGAGCTCCGCCAGATCTGGGCGCTTGGCTCGCTGGAGATCGAGGTGATGCCTTACGCCGGCGCAGTGCAGCCAAGGACTGCACACCAAACCGAAATCCAGGACTGTTGCCCAGAATTCCTGAACCGGGGTGCCGTCGTTTTGAGACACGCCGAGCGGCCAATAGAACCTTAGGAAGGTACAGTGTTTCTCATTGATCAGAAATTGGTTAAATGCAGCTTTTATATCCGCGACGATCGCTATAGGCTTTCGTCGGAATTGGAGGAATACGGCTAACAAATCAGGTAAATAATTCGGGCCTTTCTCCAACACGTCATTGAGAGACGCCGCGTCCGCAGACCGCGCGCCTCCGTCCTTAACCAAACGAATCTTTGTTCCTGCGAGCCGAGGGTTTTTTTGCTACCGCAAGAATCGGTAGGTAGTAAGCCATTTCTCCGGGTTTTCTCGGAGCTGCGGGTTCGACGTAGCCTGACTTGACCAGTTTAGATATCTCGTCATCTACTGCTTTGAGAACTTTCGGATTCTTTTTTAGAGACTTGAGGAGACCCATGAGACGGGAATACGCTAGTTTCTGATTATCCCCCAGGGTGTGAATGTTTTCTCTAAAAGGGAGGGAAACTATGAATCTGCCTTCGGGGGTGGTTTTTATCGACTCCTTGAAAAAGGTTTCCATGGGCTCCAAAGAATTTTTGTCCTCGTCGGGAGTTGAGTGCTCCACGCCGAGGAACTCTGTATCCCAAAGAAAATCGAAGTTGTCTCGTTTGGTCTTGGACGAAAGCGGCGATGCCGCGGGATCGACGTGGCCGTCGCTGGGAAGAACGCAGGCTAGCGACGTGGTAACCGAGCTGCCAACTGCGTTTGCTCGATCGCTCCCCCACAACACCCAACCGAAAATGGTAGGCGATGCGGTAAGATGCCCTACCCTCCGATACATTCCATCATAAATCGAGGGGAGAGCGTCAGCTCCAATTAGGACCTCGATGACCTCGGGAAACCCCGGTTGCTTAACATCCGCCCATTGAAGATCCAACTGTGGGAACTCAGCTCTGGGAAGGATGCCCTTAATTACTGCAGGTACAGCCAGGCAGCCGATAGTCGTGCTACGACCTGAGAAGCGACTCCTGACCGTGAGCCGCACGGTGTTCAGGTCTAACTCTTGAGAGACCCCGCCTGCGACTCCATGTACCCGCAACGAGACGTTACCGCCCGGTTTCGCGCCGAGTCGCTTGACTACTTGATTGGACAAGAAAGATCGTTGAGAGCCCGGGTCTAAGATCGCCCGACAGATTATTCTTTTACCGTTGTTTTCGACCCAGATGTAGGCCGTTTGCAAGAGAGACTCCGGATCCTGTGAGGACACCGGTTGGCAATTACACGAGACGCTATTTGAGGCCGAAGTCGGGGGGTTCTTTGACGATGCCGGAGAAGACACTCAAACTAGAGTATGGTGCCTGCCCTTGCACCTCGCGCAGTTGCTCACATGTGCTCTACATTTTTTGCTATTATGGTTTTTCCTGAGGCATCTCAGACACGCATTTTGCTCATCTAGCATTCTACGCCTTTCCTCTGCCGACATAGCTTTCGGACACCTGGAGCTGGAGTGATTACTAGCGCAGAATATGCAGACAGGCTCCGGAAAGTGCCCGGCGAACGAAA